AGGAAGCCCCATCATAGGAGACACATCTCTAAGGGACGAAATTTAGCACTTTTACACGAGGGGTCATGGATGTTAAGATGTAGTCTTATGCCTTTCAAATAGTATGGGCTCAGGCCTCCAACCAATATAGTTGTATCCAGACATGCCAATCAGACATCATTAATGAGAATATAAAGGAATAAATTCGGACCGCAATTTTTTCACTTTCCCCGATGGCAGTTTTCCTTATGTATGGTACGAAAATCCTTACTTGTCCTCAGGACAAATCAAGTAGATGAATTCGATAGAAAAGATCTGAGGTTGTAGATCAGGGCTCACGGGAGACATCTACCGTCGAAGGTATGCACCTGACGGAAGGCGACAGAGAGCACTGAAGATGCCTAAAGACATCCCTAAGATATCCTCCACAAGGTATCGAAAAGCGTTCGACTGAAGATATCTTCAAGATATCCCCTCCAGGATATCCAGAAGCATTCGACTAAGGATATCTCTAAGATATCGACTGAAGATGGCTAAAAGACGTCCCGAAGACATCCCTTGCGAGATGTCCGAAACCGTCCGAAAGAAGATGTCTTCAGGATATCCTATAAAGACATTGGGACAAGTCGTCCAGTTAGGGACATCCCTGGGATATCCCTGTGCTGCGTACGGGATTGGACAGCAATGAGACACACCTGGGATTGGAAAGGTGCTGATTTCTAACCAAGTTAAAGCGCTGGTCACCATCATAATGAGTGCATGGATGGAAAGACAGCGTTTGTTCACCGGGAAATAAACCACCATTGGCATTTTGAAATATGGGCTCTACGGTGGCTTTACCAATAGCGCAAAGTGAAACTCAGCGATCACAAGATTAATCAGGCAAGATTAAAAAGAAGTCAGTATTTGATTCAAAGAGGCCTCACTACAAAAGGACTCCTGGTCAAGAAATACAACTTCCTTGTTTCACGTGGAAAAGATCTCATCAGATTCCATCACATGAGGGGCACTCCCGAAAGCTCATTCCGAAACATGGACTAGAAGGGCAGCTCCGCAGAAATCGCACCGGTTGAACATCAAACAGAAATTCGCGCGTCCTACGTAGGTACGTAAGAGGATGAAAACGGGAAAGGCGAAGAGTAAGTACAGAGAGAAGACCATGAAGCAGGGCCGGATTAAGAAGTTGCAAGGTCCGGGGCAAGTGAATTCCCGGGAGGAATTCCCCCCCCCCCCCTCCCCCCCCTGCTACTTTACGCAAATACAATACTGTTGTACTTAACGTTTATAATTTCCTTCGAGGGTCCCCTGGAAGAGTGGGGCCCGGGGCAACTGCCCCCTTTGCCCCCCCCCCCCCCGATCCGGCCCTGCCATGAAGTAATCCTGGGGACGTGGGAAGCCTTTGCTTAGTTTCCCACCCCTCACGCTTCAAGGTCAGGCTCGAGGAGTTCCCTATAGTCTGAACCTGATCCAAATCCGGATCCAACGCCGCTCCTACGGAGTATCCTGAGACATCCCCTCCCTCCCACGAAGGCAGACGCCGAGGAATGCCTTGTTCGATGAGAGCGTTTCATCACAGCATCACTATAGCATCCTACACTTGCATAAGGCAGACGCAGTGCAGCCGCACAAAACGAGACAGGATGGTGGCATTAGCCTCAGACTAGAGACACTTCCGATTGAAATAAATACTCATGTTTATGGTTCTTACCAACGAAACATAATCACCCATATCGAAGTAAACGAAAGAATATGAGGATGCAGTAGACCTCTGACTTCCCGCGCGCGACATAATGCTTCGATTAGGCGCCAAAGTTCGAATATGCCCACACCCTTCCGCTGCAAATTGTGATGGAAGGGTGTGGGCATATTCGAAATGAAGAACCATGAGGCACACCAAACCGGCCTGCTCCGACCCCTGACAATGAAAAGGTTTTGCAAAGTATTGCCAAACTATTAATGTAGTATTTTTCACTATTAAAACTACATTTATTAGAAGCATACCTTGCATCTCCAAGCCTCGCCGAACCTGCACTTTTTCAAAATTCTCCTCCTGTAACGAAATGCATTTCCTAGGTGACATATTCATGCATCACGAACGGCCTGCGCGCCCTTTCCTGAAGGTATTTCGTTCCGTTGCGGCTGCTTTTAATTCAACTTTTTCGGTCCCGAATAGGCACTTTTTTAACTTGCTCTTCGGGTTTTGGAAAGAATCAAAAGTCGCAGGGGGCTAGGTCAGGAGCACAAGCAGGAATAAACAGCCACGGGGAGTATCGAAAGACTTGGTGGCCGGACATCGCATGCTCATGGCCCACCTGTCCCCGACCCTCGCCCTCAGAGAGATATTGCACGAACCGGTCGGTCCTCTCCTGGCCATTTTCATGGCCGGGTTTGCACCCACTAGGTCCCCCGTGCCCAACTGCAGCTAAAGCGTCCTACACTACTCCAGTGATTAACTTTGGGGGCGAGCCCTCCCCATCGAAAGCTCCCAGACCCGTCTTGGAGGGGGGAGGGGGCGAACGCCGTTGTGATGCAGGAACCAAGGGTGGATTGCATTTGCACCGCTAAAGGAGGTTTAAAGCTTTATTACGCTAATCAGTTTTATACAATCCATACCTATTGAAGTGTTTTGCAGTGCTCGGCGAAGCTTTGAGAGTTATGCCTGCATGTTCCTGCCGGCGGATCCAGTAATTATTCATAGCAGCAAGCTTTCAGCCACAATGAATAATTTCTGGGGGAGGGGGCGGGGGCGGCTGCTGAACGAATAATGAAGGGGTATGGTGAAAAGGACATAAATGGAAGGCAAATAGCGGAAAACCCTTAATCCTTATTAGGCCTAGTTATGGATCTCTCTGGAAGCTCCAGCAAGTAGAAGACAACTCGTGCAAGAACCATAGAGGCTGGGTTGTGCAATAACGCGCAACAATAGAGACATTAGTGAAGTCAGTAATGAGAAACAGTAAGGCCAGGAGCCTCTTCCCCAGGAGTAACGAAAAGCAGCCGAGTCTTCCAAACTTCGGGCAAAAACCGCAGCTATACCAGTACCCGAAGTCGAGGGAAATATGCGAGTCATCCAATCGCGATTGTTGAGCACTCCCCCCCTTTGTGCGATGATGTCCCTGCTTATTAATTAAATGAAGTTATCAATCTAGCTGGAGGATGACGTTATGAATGACTGCTCCAAATTATTCATTCCCCTGTTCTCACGAGGTTTTCGAAGTGTCAAAGTAACGAGTAACGCTAACGAGTCACTTCTTTTGGGCTAGGATCAAAACCCTGCAAAGGGCCCACCGAGATTCCCGTCTCCACGAAAGGCACCATCAAAAATCCCCAAAAGCAAACGAACGGCGGGCCCACCACCACGCCGCAGACCCCGCCAGCGATACACAACGGCTTCACCTCATCTCACCGACCACGATTGCTTGCTTCAGCTATCACTATTAGCTCGCGATACGCCCTGTATGAGCGACGTATCGCTGCCAACCTTCATTCTCACCTGCCAAAGCCATCTACGCTTATCCCGAACTTCCGGCGACGGATCCGAGCCGTAACGGGCTGGCCTCTACTGAATCATTCTGTACCAAATAGTTTGTTGTATCATTACTAGATGGCAGCGCAACTGCAGTAATGAAAATCTTATCCGTGCCTGTTTCTCCGGATTCCTCGTCCGAAGACGGAATCCAAGAAATCATACGTGAATGGGTTGAAGGAAAAGTCAGTTAAGATAGACCTAGCCCTCGAAAGACGAATATTTTCGGTGGGAGCGCGACAACCTCGTTACTTCTTTTCTATTTTGTTCATGGATGCATCGAAAAAACCTTTACGATGAATCTCTGGAAGGGCCAGGGACTCCATCTCCACGTTCCACACCAGCGAGTCCTAAACGCATTTCCCACCTCCTGCCGTTAATGTCGGGTTGAAAAAATCTACTACGCTCCACGTCATCAACACCGGCCACGCGACACGCCGGCGTGTCGTGTTTTGTACCACGCCGAGGGTACAATAAACTTGTAGTGCGACACGCCGGCGTGCCATGCGGCAGTATAGGAAAGAATTACCAATACTGCTTTGGCGGTCAACGATGACTGATGATTTATTAGAATCGTTAAACTACTGAAATAGAATACCTCCGAGTTCAGAGCTATTAATATGACAAGATATTTATAGCTCTGAACTCTCCTCGAGGTCTGCAGATCCATTTATTTACAGGCTTCCGAAAATGAACATGATACTCTTAATTGGGGCCATCGCCGCTTTGTGCACGCAATGGCTGGATTTCGCAGAAGGGCGGACGAAGGGGGACGGAGACTAGAAAATAACGCGTTAGCTCTTCTCGATAATGGAATGCCGGATCTCACCTAAAATCATTTACATTTTCCTACTATCTCCTGCTCGTTCACTACGAATTCCAGTCCTCGTCATAACCACTAAATCCTTGTCCCCGTTACCTCCACAAGCTCAAGCTCACTAGCAGGGCCGGATTAAGGGGGGGGGGCAAAGGGAGCTGTTGCCCCCCCCCCCCCCCCCCCCCCCCCCCCCCGCCGGGNNNNAGGGGGGGGGGGGAAAAGGGGGCTGTTGCCCCCCCCCCCCCCCCCCCCCCCCCATCCGGGAAGGAAATTAAAAACGTTTAAAAAAAAAATTATTTGGGTAAAGTGGGGGGAGCCCAAAGAATCAACTTGCCCCGGACCTCGCAACTTCTTAATCCGGGCCTTGCTCTCTAGACCAGTGGAGAGCAACCCGCGGCCCGCGGGGCTTCACAGGTTCACTCGCGGCCCGCAGTCAAGAAAGGTTGCTCATCACTGCTCTAGACATTCACAGACTCAACTTTGCCACAACCGATGTGATGTATGAAATCCGTAAACCAGTTCTGGTACAAAACAGTACATGCATCTCATTTCTACTCACCCTCTTTGCATCCCATTCTCCCTGAAATCTCGCCTCCTTTACATCCCTCGGAACCCAAACGAAACGCAGGATCCGTACTTTGACCCCACATCCCCGTTAGAGCAGCACTGCCTGCGCTTCCACGTCCTCCCTCGTCGGAAAGATGGCTGCTCGCGTGTACCTCGTGTCCCTTCTTCTCCCCATCCTTGCCGCTGTTTGTAAGTCTCATTCGTTCCGTATTCGTGTCGAGAAATGTATTTTTGCACAGAGGTTTGATTTGAGAAGATTATCAGGAGTAATATTTTCTTCCCTCGGCGTACTTGCGCCGTTAAACGAAACTTATGATGAACCTGTATTTATTATGCAATTGAAAGACGCCGATAAATATTTTACATCCGGGAAAGAATTGGTTCGAGAAAGGATAATTATTGACAACGGAAGTTCTAAGCTTTTGGCGCAGTAATAAGCCTTCGTCAATAATGGAGAGGGAAACTTCGCTTAAGATATGCCATAAGACATAGATGAACAGAAGAAAGAGATGGGAATCTAAAAATGTAGGAGATGCACTGCATAAAAGCATGATAAATGCTCAGAGATGAGGTTTATGAAAATTTTTAGTTCCTGTATTTCGTCAGGTCTTGATGCATACTTCAGGCTCAGTAATGCTGCTTTCTTTTCCCTTTTCTAACGTTCCTCATCCCCTTGTAACCCATTATGTACCTCCTTATGTTCATTATGGATGCTGCATATTGTTAACTAAATTAAAATCCCACCAGTGTGCTTTCCTCTGCCTAGAAAGGAAGCATGTGACTCAAACCTACAACTTGGAGAATCCAACATTTTGGTGATTTACCATGCATACCTGAGCTCTATAGATGTAATGGCCAAATATAATGAAAATTTCTAGTGGTCATTGTCTTTCCTCAGCTTTCCAGCAAAATGTGTTGTATTGAAACCAAAAATGTAAATCTCTACCAATGTCAGCTTGCAACTATTACCAGCCTTATTTTATCCAGGGCAACTTCTCATGCTTACTTGCTCTGGGGTCTTCTGCAGAGCCTTTTTCTTTTATATATCAGAGAGTAGGCCTTGATGGAACAACAGGTCTTCCTAATGGCACAAAGTCTGGTTGAATTTACTTTTCCAAATTACCTATTTTTTATTTTTTTAACTCTTCCTTTGATTCTTCCTTCAGTTTTAAAGTATTCTGCATTGGGTCCTCAACCATTCTTGCCTGTATTTATTTTGTAATTGGGCTGATGTAACTGATTCTAAGGTTAGGGTACACTTTATGTGGATAATTATTCCATTCCATTTGCTTTAAGCACTTGGATCAAATCAGTCTTATGGGGATAGTGAACAACTCTAAAGTCTTGTCTCTGGTTTCTTTTTTTTGCAGGCCTGGGATGTGAAAATCCCAAGGTGACTCCCAAGGTCTACAGCAGCACTGATGCAACTATTGTTGAATTGGTGGCATTTGTGGGGGAGTTTGAAGTTCTCTGTTCAGATGGGGATAAGAATTTCCCTCTCTTTGCAACCCTAAATGACGAAGTTGTACCAGTGACAAGAACATCAGATATAAGCAAATATATTGTTTCCTGGGCGGAAGAACCCAGCAATGCCAAGTCAGGATCTCAAGTTCTCAGGTTTTTCGATGAAGCTGGCTTTGGGGTCTTCAGAAAGGTAGGCTGAGGCAGAAGTACTGAAAACTATTTCTATTCTGGGGAACAAGTCTCAACAGTTACCTTAATTATTTTTTTTTAATTTTTATGTTAGGCCCAGAGAGCAGGAGAGGATGTATCCAAAATATCACCCCTTTTCTCTGTGCCTTTGCAATTGGAGGTAAGTCTTGGAAAATTTAGTTTTCAAAAGGGTGCAGGATTTTTTGAAGAATATGTTTTGATGATCCTTTCTTGCTTACAGAGAGCATACAAGGGTCCCTGGGTGCGAAGCGAGTTCCTTGCATTTGCTATATCAGTGATCATCTTCTACATTGCATACTCAACAAAGTCTCATATTATGAGCTGAATGAATACTTGAGGTTGTGTTGAAAATATTTATTTTTCAAATATTTATACACTGGTATAAGTATATGCTCCAATACATACACACATTGATGGACTGATATGTCTGAACACATGTGGACCAGGGTGAAGATGAGTAGAAGTAGTGGTAACACTAAGCACCATGAAGACTTATGGATGGAGTCTTCATGGTGAGTGAAACTTATCAAAGGTGCAGAGTAATACACCAAGGGCAATAAGTCCCATGCCTTGTAGGGAACCTGATAATGATGAAAAATTTTCATTGTTGCTGTTTCCAATGTAAAAAAAAAAAAAACACACACACAGAAAAGGAGGTGTGAGAGTATAAGAGTGAGAAATTGGAGGATGGCCAGTCATACAAGAGTTGAAGGTTAACCCTTCAAGCAGGTATGATGTATATATCTGTCAATCAAACTCCTTGATACATCATGTCTTAGAAAAAAAAAGTGCAATGTATCATGTTCAGCACTGCATACTTACATATTCAGGGTTCATACTAGCTTTTATGAATCTTGAGTCCTGGCACCTAGCTTCAGCTCAGTGGGAACATGTTCAGGTGGTTGCCAATGAGTCCCACGGACTTAGATGTTTTGCAACTATGAGTCAGGGACTTGCTATAGTGAGTTAACATGCTCTAAGGTAAAGTTAAGGAGTTGATTTTCAGTTATTTTTAAATGATATATAGAGCACAAAAGTTCTGCACTTATTGCTGCAGTTCATTAATATTTAAATGTTGTAGGTTCCACCTTGCTATAAAAATTACACACTTGAAGGGTTTAATGTCACTGTTAAATGATATGCTTCACTTTAGAATCATAACAAGCTGATTTGATTACTGAAAGCAAAACTCACGAGATGAAGGCATTGCCTCTCCCATAAGAGTCCCAAACAAGGACGTGAAAATGAAAGTCAGGCAGTTATTCACAGGGTTCACCAGTGTGATATCTGAAGGGCAAAAGTGAGGACTCGTAAGAAACAAATAGTTACAGCACTTAAAGGCAAACACGAATTGCTACATACCAAGGAATGTAAGTCCCACTGCTAGAAGAGGTGCCCCCACCAAATTTGCAAAAAATGATAAAGTGTACTGGAGAGAGAGAAAGCCTCAAAAGAATAAAAAAAGACTTGCAAAATCAGATCATGAATTGGATTGGTAGTAGGATATTGAACTCACCTTCCAGTTAGCAAAGAGGGCATAGCAGTCATGGACAAACCTATGTAGGAATCCATGGCCATCGTCTTCAGGTCTCTTATGGGTTACTGCATTGGAACCATACTTCCGCATAAGGGGATTTGTGATGCCCCATACAAGAGCTGACAGCATGGCACAGATGAACCCAACCCACTCATTATGATCAAGTTGTTTCATGGTTTTCCTTCCAAGATGTTGTCAATGGGATGTTCTGGAAGCCTGATGGATATTGTGAAATTATGTAATTCTTATAATAATTGTATGTAATTCTTATGACATCAAATTTCATTCTCAGCCACAATTTTACTGTTTTCATTCAGAAGGTTTCCACATAATTGACACTTCAGATACCACATACTAAGTAGATTAAGATGAAGTGAGTCTGAATCCCATGGGAAGCTGCTATGAAGCAATAAGAGTTATCACTTACATGGCAAGATGTCTTAAAAACACAAGAAGTAACTCACAAAATGATACAAAGATTTAGGTGGCTCAAAGCACAAACTTCGATATTCATGTTATCCGGTAAGAATATCCATGTTGTTTCCACAAGCAAACACCCAAAACTGAAACATATTTCATCAAGTGTTACATTTTCATTTTGACATCTTTGTACAACATATTGAATTCTCTTTGTGACGTAATACTGGCATTTTGAAATCACTCTTTTAGTGCCCAGGATAACACTACATTCCAGATTGACCACTTGAATGAGCTTCAGGAATAATTGTCAATGATATTTGTTATATGGAAGATGGCTCAAGGATGGGAGTTGCAGAAGAAAATGAAGAGAGGTTTTAGAAAAATGTCATTTTTACTTAAAAAAGCAAAATATTGGGGGGGGGGGGGGGATGACAATTCGAGTTTAAGGCCAAAAATACAGACTTCAGCTCTCTAAAAATAGCAAGGAGCAAATATGAAAAAAACTCCAATTTTCATCCCTACAAAACCTGGCCCCTTGCCATCTTCCTGTAACCAAAATGAAATTTGCTTTTCCATTTAGGATTCATTAGGGAGTGTTGAGCTTTTTATAGGGTATGTTTCATCTTCAAGAAAAACGTTGATATCATGCATGACCATTCTTTACTTTGAATTTAATTTAATTTTTATTATTATTATTATTTATGAATTCTTTTTTTTTATCGTCAAAATATGAGAAAAATGGACCATCTGAAGGACATGGAGACAAGGTGTTACTTCTCAATCTCAGAGACAATGCTCAAGCATTCTTAAAAAAGGAAAAATTTTAATAATCCATTAAACACTTATAAATTATTTGTTCCTATTAGAAAAACGCAGCTAATCACCTAAACATGAAAAAAATTTGCTGGCTTCAAAAACCACCCTGTCTCCTGAGTCATGAATATTTTTCCAGTAAAACCTAAAACTATATCACAGTCAGTAACATTATCCAGTCTTACAGAAGGCAACATAGAATACATCATATTAAAGAGTACATGATAATCAAAGCATATGCCACAAAGATGTGCAAGATGAATGTGAAAATTAAATATCAGTGCGCAGAAAATGCCAGATAAGCAGTTGGCAAATTATTCCCTCTCAGCATCATTTTGTGACAATTTATTCCTTATATAATACCCATGCATTTTTTCATCCATGGGTGGGGGAGGATACCCGTTGTTTCTCTACACCAATCGAGACAAATTTCACTTACCATGGATATGCACACTGATAAACTTCGTAGAGCTGCTATTTCTAGCAATGTGCAGCTATTGTCTGATCTTGATTGTCCTGTCAGCCATTTCTGTTATTGATCAAGTTGCTCAGTTGGCCTTTGTTTCAAGGTGAAAGGGTTTGAATGACCTTTGAATTTGGTGATAATCATAACAATTAGAATTAAAATTACTTCTCCAGTGCTAGTGCAAAGAATACTAAATGTCTTATAATCTAGCCAGCACAATGAGGATGGCTGCTACAGCTGTTGCTCATGAAAACATCCATGACTTATCCCTTTGTAGGGAAAGGCATCAAGCTGTGGTATGAACCCCCCCGCCCCAAGTTCTCCCTATTGAGCAGAACACCATTACAGAGGAATTGGTTGTTGGCTGAAGGATGAAATAATACTAGTGTAGACATTGAAAAGCTTTTTTTATTTCAATGATACTTTGTGCATTCCCCATACAGCTTGTGCAATCATGGGGCACCTCAAGCAATGAAACATACTCCAAAGAAAACTGCAATTGATCAAAAAATGGAAACTGTAAATAGAGGGAAGTGTTGAAAGAAAACAGTCTCTGCAGTGTGTGAATTGAATTTGTCCTTGAAGCATTTTCCCTATGGGGGGGGGGCTTTAATTTTAATTTTAAATGAATAAAGATGGGACATGAGGTGAAAACAAAAGATGACAGACACTTTCATATGGTACTCAAATGAATGGGTGGGTGCTTGGATGGGAGGAATCACCAGACTCAGTCATCATAGTCCCTTTGCTATGGACTCTAGTCCTGTGGAAGCTCTTAGGGGCAGCTCATGGGTTGCCTCACCCATGACTGCCACAAGTGAGTTTTAAGGTGTACTCTGGCAGAATTGATTAACTGTGGCACCAATAGTGGTGTACATGCTACATGATTGAGGCTCTTATTCCTCAGGTTTGATGCTTCACTTCATTTAAGTTGGTAGCCTAAACCATTTGGCTCTCTGTATCTGGTCCTACTTCCCACCTTTAGTTGGTTTCAGCTCTAAGATGACAGAGACAAAACTTGAGCAGGAGGTAAAAGGAACAACAATGCTCACAGCTAGGAGGAGAGATGATGTTCCTTTTCCTCATTTCATTGGAGGAAGAGGTTCTATATAGGCCATGTTTGATTTACTTCAGTGCATAAGTAATGATTACCATGTATGAAGAAAACCCATACTATTTATATTTAAAAGTTCATACTACATCAGTGTGATTACTTTTTGTTGAACTTCATGGTATAGAGTCAATTTCACCCCTCCATCGTTCAAATTTTCTCTGAAAATTTTGACTACTACCCATTTCCATTTCCACTCAGTAACCCTAGCAAGGGTCCATAGCAGCATCTGAAGGCAGAGTTAAGCCTTATTATACTAATCATTCTCTTTTTTTGTAATGAATAAATTGCCACTCTTTCCCCAGGAAAAGCCTCTAAAACCAAGTGAGTACAGTTCACCCCTTGCAGAAGGCAAAGCCAGAACTAAACAAAGCCTGAGAGCATTATGCTACAGTGTGGACTAAATGCCTATGGAAGCTACTATCCCATGACTTTCAGCAAGACCACATGTGGATTACTCATGAGCTGCACAATATGCATGGATGCAGACTTGCCCCTTAAGGTTGTTTCACACTTTGTGTGTCATGCATCCTTTGCATCAATGCTTGTGCAGGTAGGCAAAAGCATGTATGTCCCCTAACTTCATAAAACGCAAGACTTGCCTTTCCAATCGAGCTCACCCTAATTCCACGCACAAACCCTGCACTTTGTGAGAACCCTTGAATGTAAGTGGACATGCATGTGCACATGTATGTCTGCCTGCCTACCCCAGCATTGACACAAGCAACACAAGACACACAAAATGTGAAATGACCTTTAGGGTGGCAACTTTTCAGACACCCTGTAAGTGAAGGCAGGTAAAGTTCATTGTTCATTTGCCACTATAATTAAAAGCTTTATGCAAAAGCATATATAAGAAGTCCCAGTCTCAGAATATCACAAGTATAACCACAGCAAAATTGGCCAGCAACAAAATGAAATATCTACAATGCAACTGCACAAGCATCAAGAGATGTCATCAGTGATCCTGTATGGAATGTTAAACATAATGGATGGCTGCAAGTTCATCACACCAGGCCACTGCACCGGTTGAATGTAGAGCTATATATTTGTATTAAAGATGAACAGAATACTGACAAGAAAATGAGCAATCACATCAAGGATATCATGAGTATTTAGGGAGGTAAAAAAAAGCTGCAAGAAAACCAGCATGCTGATGGCAAAATCACCAAACAACAGGATGAACTAAAATTCTATTTTAAAAATAATTTGCGATAAAGTGGACAGAAAAGAATATGCAAGAAAGGGAAGGAGAGCTTGCACTTAGTCCTCCTTTTTGGCAGGGGAGATCCTCTTGTGAATCTGGCTAGGAAGGTCAACAAAGAGGAAGGTCCCACCAAACACAAGCACAGTACCAACCCAATGACTTAAAGTAAAGGTGTTCTTGAAATATAAAATGGAAAAGACAAGGGAAATGAACTTCCTCAGGGTGATCACAAGTGTTACTGTCAGAGATGTGCACTCAGTGGTCAATGTATACACACAGCTCAGACACAGGTACCTGAAGTGAAACCAGTCAAGGCAATAATATCATCTTAATATGGTGTACTTGTGAAATTAGGAGTGACATGGGGATTAACACATTCATGCTAATATATTTTTTTAGGCAAGTGCTAAGCATTCCACATATAATATGTTGGATATAGCAAATGTAATGTCTGCAGGCAGCACATACACATTGTCTACTGCTGTTGCTGCAGCAGCAACAGCTCCTTATCTGACTCATTGGAATCGTTTGCCGATATGACTGCACTTTTTATCTGTTGTCACAGTATCATTGCTATCTGCCTCTAATTCTCACTCTAAATCATTCAGCTGATAGTTGCTGTCTATATTGTTGTAATTATCATTAAAATTAATTCCCCAATTCACCCAATTGTTTGCAAGTGTCCACCAATGAAAAGTGCTTGTGTGACATTACTTAACACACTATATATACAATAACTTGGCCTACTACCAAATAATTTTTTTCCCCATTCAGTTTCAGTCATTAGTTGGCACAGCACAAAAATAGACTCTTGTAACTTCTTGTTAACTAAACTTCTACTAAACTCTAAAACTCTAAACTCTACTAAAAACTAAACTCTAAACTTCTTGTAACAAGAAGTTTTGCACATTGTTGAAGCAACATAAAGGCATTAATCACAAGGGACAAATATCTTGTCCCTTGCAGGGAATCTGTTCAGCAGTTTCTTGAGCTGAATAAGTCATGAAAAGCACTTTGATTAGTCCTAATGAATTTTATGTTTGTAGCAGACATAGGTTTGAAGAGTTGGTTGCTAATGCCACATTTCATTTTGCTGCCTAAATTAGCTGATTAATATTCAAGATTTCTGAAATCAGTAACTACATGTTAACAAAGCTAAGTCATATTCATAATAACCTGGCAGTTTTGCAATCAAATAGCTTGGGTTAGCATTCAGCAATGAATGTATGATGACTACTAATCTTACTGCCAGTAAAATGTAAAGGATACTGGGAGAAGGCATAGGCAGCCAAGATGATGAGCATTGATGGGACACTGAAAGGAACAAGTGGGAGTGCCACTGGATCAGAGTTTGTCAGGATTTTCAGATGGGACCACATGTCCACAGCAAAGAAGAGGAATGCTGGCAGAGGCAGCATGTGCTACATAATCATGGACAACACAGGTCAATTTGAAGGCAGCATTCACCTTGAATCTGAATTTATAATCTCAACAGAAGAGGAACTCACAGAATAATAGACAGACTCCTGAGCATGTTTGCCAAATTTTTCAGCCAATGTCTCCTGATAGATCCCAAGACGAGCTGACATGAATAAGGCAAGGCTCAAGATCCCAATCCCTAAAGAGGAAATGTTAAAGACACTACATTAGCCATGACATGAGCAATCTATATCACATTCAACAACAATGAATTTGCTGAGAAAAAAATGTACATTTTCAGGAAAAGGGAAATAGATTGTAATGATGTGAGAAAAGTTCCAATCCCCCACAGCCCCCATCCCCAATACCCCCCAAGGTCTAATACCTTGAACCTTAATTTTCAAAGTCATTAGGGCTGGAAGACCTTGAACAGCAGGTTATGCCTGTACACACTCTACACCACTCAGGTGAGAGGTCATGGTAGTTTGAGCATTTGCTGTAATATTTTCATACCCAACAAGTGCCACAGTCCAGATGTTCAGTGGGCTCCATGAATATAACTTTAAAATGGAACTGGCTCTTTGGTTTTAGTGCTGGAGGATAAATGACCACAGTTATGAGCTCTATAAAAGTTTCTTAATTCACTAAATAAAAAAAAGAGTGGTTAATAATGGTTAACACATTCATGCCCAGTGACTGCAGTACAATATGGGTTTAAAAAACATAATATCATGGTTCCAGGCATCAATGTGTTAATTAAAGGTGGTCAATTGACTGCCCCATCCCTAGTCCCAACACGTCAAATATCAGCTGAATGTTTTTAAAATTGCAAGCTCTTGAAATATTCCTCACTTGAAGTGATTACATAAGGAATATGAAGGTGATGCTTGCTGATAGGGCATAAGAATGCAAAGACATATTTACATTTGAAGCTGCAAATTAGTGTATTGTTTGTTGCCTTAGCACATAGTCCATCAACTGGCATTTTTAGCAGGAAGCCCAACTTCTAGGGTTTCCACCCATTCATAATTAGTATGGACAGTACATATTTCAGATGCAGTGTCAATACTGCAATCTGGCCTTAATATTTTAGTTTTACCCATATTTTAAATGTGAGATTTAAAAAAATTCATTTAGTAACCTCTCCTAATCCACTTTTCCTTCTCCATGCAAGTTTGCAAACTTTATTTTCACTTAACATAATTTGTCTGTAGATGAAATGCTTCCCTTGAGCTATCACACCTGAGTCCTGTAATGTTGCTATTCAGTTGAATCTTTAAAAGGGATAAAAATCAATATTAAACCATTCAGATGGAATAGAACACCTCACCAATCAGCCAGGTAACAAAATCACTTGAGGCCTTTTCAGGTGAATGATGAGTCTCTTCACTCAGGTTCTTCCCAGATGCAAATGTGCAGATGAGGATCCCCAATGTCACCATGGCAACTGAGAGGTACTTGCTCAAGGTATAGCGCCTGTGTCGGATTATGATGCCCAGTATCATGTTCGCCAGTAGGGATCCCTGACATCACAAGCCAATTATTGCACTGATTTTGAAAGAGTTCATCAAGTTCTCTTCAGTGATAGAAAGATCAACTTACTGAACGAAAGATCAGGTGCAAAGGTATTGATATGTTGAAGTTCAGTGCATAATTGTTGGCCACATTGACTGTGAAGAACATTGCCACCATTGTTGCATAAAACCTAGAAGGAAGAGGACATTGAGAGAATTTTACTTTTATTTCTCTTCATTCACACTTGGCTACTTTTGGCATCAAGCAAAAAATTTCCCCAGAATACAGATACATCTACTTGTAATCCTGATCAAATTGGTGGATCATCTACTCACAATAGTCCATCATTGGATTAGAATCTCCCCAAAGGGATGTCATGCTTAGTGTCATCAATGGAAACCTCCCAACCCCATTTCATAATGAACAAAAAAATCATACAACTCAAGCAGGAGTCTTTCTACTTCTTACTTTCATCAATAGTCTTCATTTATCTGACAATGCCTCCCTAGTTTTCCTTTATGAACTTGTTATTCCCCTTTACCCATGCTGTAGGGCAGGGGTGTCAAACTGGCGGTCCGCAGGCTGGATCCGGCCTGCCAGTTAATTTTTTCCAGACTGCAAAGCCCTCTTCAACTGTTGGTTATGTACAGGTACTTCAAATTTCATCCTGTTTGCATTAAAGATTAGGTGCTAGGTTTTTATTGTGACCTCTAATCACCCCTGAAGGCTTCCATCCAGCCCCCAGCCTAATCGAGTAAGACTGTAGGGAGTGAGAGTAGGGGGTAAGAGAGTGGGCTGAAATCAAGGTGAAAATAGTACTGGTGCACCCCATGGATTTCAGTTTACCATGCACTTATTTATTTATTTATTACATTGCAGCCAGTGGAATGCACTGCCAATCACTCAATATCAGAAAAGTTAACTAGATAACCTATGGCAAAAAATTCACCCTGGCAACTAGTCATTCAATTTTCCATTGTTCACACTTCAACACTTACCTAAGAGGAACCACATTCTTCTTTCTTCCAAAGTTGGCATAGAAAATGAAGCCAATGAGAGCATTGATGAAGAAGCCAGCAAAAGTGACCAGGACTGCACTTCCTGGATCAAACCTGAATTACATCACAGAATGACTTCATCCACATAGACATGGTACACCATCAAAAGGAACCAAAAACCCACTTGATTAACATCTCCAGCATGACAACATTGAAGCAACAAGAGAGAAAGGTAAGGAAAGATAACATCACAGGATCCATTTCGTACTTGCAAATCTCCAGCCACCATATATATAATAAAATTTGAAAATATAATACTATGATTGCCAATCTTCCTCCACTCTGTCTCCTCCTCCCTCAACTGCAAAATAGTTCAGGGTCATAACTGACTCTAAGAAACATGTTTGAATCATTAATCAAGCATGAGAATGTTGAAAATGGCAGGCACACCCACTGAAGGAACAGCTTTTCAAACTCAAATGAAAAATGCATAAGAAGAATATGATTAGGGGTGATTCAACACAACATCAATTAAATAGGAACACTTTAAAACATGTTTTGTTCTTAAACAAGGCTAGATGGAAGATTGAGTCATGCCTCATCATAGATGAGATTCCATGGAGCCAGAGGCACAAGCATCTGCTCTGCATTCATGAAGGGAGGAAGAAGCAACAGAAGTTATTTCAACATATATTCTTTGAAATCACAAATGATGCACATGTTCATGACTAAAGTACTACTCATACACTGAAACAAGCATGACAAATACATATTTTTTTCATAAAAAATGTGTAATTATTCTTGAAATAATATGTAAAATATCACCCATACAAATGCTGGGGATGAAATTGAGTCATGGAGTTAATTCAACATGAAGAAAGCATTAGGAACCATCACACACACATCCCCAAAATTCCCAAAATCCGAGATTCTCAAATCATTCATCAATTCAGGAGATCAACTTCGTGACAATTTAACCAACACCAAATCCAACAATTCAAACTTTCTCTTCTCTCTGATTTGCACATCTGTTCACTTGAATAGGTGGAACATACATTTGCTGACTATGGAGATGAAGTGAACAACACTGTCATCAATTATCTGACTGAAGGGCAGACAAGCAATTTCTAAGATTTCTAAAAATAAAAAAAAAGAAAGCAAGAATTGGACCCTTCCTGATGCAAAGTAAAATATTCCTCAATTCTCATTTTGTTATATGAACAAAGAGCTGATTTTTTCCTGCTTTAAAAAGGTCAATACAGCATAGTCTTCCTTTTGTCATATTTTATCAGCAACCTCTTTCACACAAATGGCACTTCTCTGTTGACTGGATTGGTTGAAATTATTCTCATTGCAGCTGGGAGAACAAATAAAATTTAGGTATGGTACCTCAAGACATATTCAATGAGGAAGTACTCTCCAATGGTAAAACAGAACAGGATGGTGTTTCAATTCACACTCACACCAAGGCATATGACAACAGGTGCAGCTGGGAGTGCAGATAAATATTATTCAGGTCTGGTCCCTAAGACCAGAATAATGAGCTGTACCTGAAGCTATTCTGTTCAGTCTGAGAGTTATGAAAAATGCCATTCTGTGTTGTTCTAATATTGAGGATTCCCATATTACAAGTGTTTGGTGACAAGCAGCAGAAATGGCTCAGTTACCAATAAGATGTACACAGTTAACCCTAATGAGTAGAATGCTCAATATTCTTATCCAGAAAAGTTTAATAAGGGGATCAGACCAGGACCCACTCCAATCCTCTCCATGTCAGTCACCACTATGGGTGGTCATATCCTTGCATTTGACAGAGCTGATCATTATATGAGGGTCAACTGTATAGATGGGGCGGAGAGGAGGGCCCCAAGACAATCCTGGAGCCAGAGGTACATTCAGGTGGTGTACATAGCATTCAAGTCAATTGTTGAGATTCCCCTCAAATGTCAAGGATGATGCAGCTCTCACATGAAGCTATTATTGAGGCAAGTATCAAGTTTGCCTCTAAGTGATCCCACAACTACACAGTTTCAAGGAGGAAGATAAATATAGTCAATAAAAAAAAACAGCTATAGGATGGCTAAAAAAAAATAGATAATTTCAATGCAGACATCCTTGAGAACAGTTGGCTAATAAAAGTGAAACTTCTAGGAACCAGGCAAGCTTTTCAATGTATAATGGCAAATATTTAGTATTAAAAAATCAACTGATTCAGATTAAGGTCTCAGCACTTTACACCACTATACTGATATGTCCCATGTAGGCTGTAGCTTTTGATAGAATCATATGATTTTTGGAAATGACAAGCTGTGGCATACATAAAGACTCAACTCTGCAACTACCAGAACCTGGTAGTTGGTATGTTTAACTTCTTGTTTCATCTCTTCAATTTCCAAAGAATCTCTTCAAAATACTTAGCCTAATTACCATCACTCATCTCCACAAAAATACACTATCAGAATTTCCAAGTTTTTGGTACAGTCTACACAGATGACTAAATTTTTATATCAGGGTTCATTTGACCCAAAAGAATAGTTATAGTTACAGGATTAAAGGTAACATACAACATGCTAAGTACCTTAATACTTGCACATGCAAAAATTCTCTGAGCATTTTTACATGCATAAGTTCACTGATCTCAAAAAAATATTTGAAATGATATCCTGTCTTTTCTTTTAGCCACCCTGCATATTACAGACAGGTAAAGGGTTTCCATTCCACTTGTCACCAAAGACACCACTTCATGACCAGATGCTACAGCCTAAATATAATACATGAAGTTTCATCAAGATATAATGACATTAGTGAGTTACTAGTTACCACTCATTCAATAGATTGCCATAACAACTACAGTTAGAATGGGAAAATAAATAAATAGTGACAAATAGACTGCAATATCTGCAATTTCCCATAGGCCAGTATGGAAATGGCAGATAATGAAAACAGTTGTGGTAGGAACAAAGGATGACTGGCATGTGCTCATGACCATACCAATAATAGAAATGAAGACTTCCAATACCCTCTCAGGTATCTTTCAGCATGTCCTTAAGGGACAAAAATATGACTGATGTGATAGAATCACAACCAAGGAACTATAATAATCTTCACATTGGGTCATGATACCCAGCTCTTTGGCATCTCAATCATGGAGTTTAAGTTTCTTGTCTTTAGAATGGGATCAAGTAACAAGGCCAAGGTGCCTTTCTCATTACCAAGTGGAACTCTCCTCCCAAGGCAATGTTGCTGTGGATTCTTAAGGCCATTCACTCCTTTTCAGCTTTGGTAGAGAATCTAATCATACAATAAACTGCCAGGTCAATTGTTCTTCCACACTGACTAGCAGTCATTTATACAAGGTATGTCTCCTTCAGAAAGAGTCAAATCCCACTTCATCTTGAACTTCCACCTTTAAAAGCTATTCTATTTACAAAATGAATATAATTGTAATCGCCCACAATTTATATTTAAGAAAATAATTGATCACAAATTCTGAAAATTTGCAATATCACCCAAATTATGATCACACCAAAAGGAAAGGAAGAGCTCAAGAGGTTTTGGCTTTGACTTTGGGTTCCTCATAGGCACGGATTCTGGGTTCAGTGAATAGGAATGTCCCAAAAAATACAAGGATGGTGCCAATCCAATGCACAAGGGTAAACTGATTCTTAAAGTAGATGATGGATACGAGAAGACTGATGAACTTGCGGAGGGTCACAATCAATGTCACGGTCAGGGAACTGCATTCTGTTGTCAGGATGTAAATGCAGTGAACACATAAGTATCTGGTATCATTTCAATCAAGGATGAATCATAGAAAAGTCTGAAGCCTCTCTAGCATCTCAAGAAAATTTTCATTAAAATTATTGAAAAACTTCCTCACAGTCTTCTGTCATCATTTTTTTCCCAGATCACTGATCCAATACAGAATTATCATATTGCTCATGTGAGTCTCTTCTGTCTGTATATATCAACAACCTCAGTGAGAAGAGCACCAATTGGTTATCATCTAGCACATCACCAATCTGAAGGATGATGATTCTCCATAACTCAAGTTCAATCTCATAATGGTATGTATGGGGCTAGCAACCAAGCAACAAATAAAGTTCAGATTAGAGTTTTAAAAAGTCAGACATACATAACTGTAAATACCAGCTGGAAACAGGATGGGGTTTATTTTGTTAAATGTCCAATAAGCAGCATAACATAACCTTAGGACTGGGCTGGTCACTTCTATATGAATTCCTGAGACTAAGAGAGCTCCAGTATGCTTGCTATCCAGCTTATAGAATACAAATCCCCATAATGCAAGAAGCAAGAAAGGATACTGAGAAGCATTGCAGAATATGAGAAGAGCCCAGAGTCTTGGAATCCCAAAGCTGATTCCAAGGAAAGAGGTGAGATTGATCATGGGGCTACTGTTGAACACTCTGACTTGACTCCAGATGTCAGATGCAAATAGAAGAAAGCCTGGTAATGGGAGGGCATGCTGAAAAATAAAAGTTTGCAATGAGAACATGAACACAACAGAACAAGAAGTAATGACAAAGCATATACAATATTTCTTGGAGTGTTCAGCTTAGGTCAGGCCCCAGAATCAAGCAGAGATTTCATTGAAGTTTTGCAAATGGCTAAGACCAATCCAAGCCAGAAATCAAGATCTCAAGTAACCACACTACAGGGAGGATGAGCTCCTTTTTTTTGGTAGTAACCACATATTCAATGGAAACAGATGACAGACCTTTGTTCCCAGAGCTCAAATTCAATGGGTGAAAGAGAAGGCACTCAAGGATGCTTTTTATGTTCCAACTCCATTTTCTGATCAATTTGCAAAAATAGAGGATGAAGAAAAAACAGCACAAGATGAAGGTCTGATAAGCTGACATACTCAAAGGCATCCACTTCATGATCAATAAGTTTAATAAAGGACATTCAAAGCTATTCAATGTCCAAAAAATTCATCAAGATAACATGCAACCCCTGTGCTATACTCTTCATTCTAGACATATAAAGAGTCATACTAGTATTTTTTGCCACTTCAAAAAAATGAAATTATCCTAATGCCTGCAAAGATCATACACTTCCCTTGCATTCTGCTAGATATTCAATGTCAAATTTTAAAAAACGAAAATCAGATACAAGTTACCAGTGACAGAACTTTGAATATATATCACTATAATGTCCAAGTCAAGGGGAATGGTCAATTTTGGGATTTCCAAACAAGTGACATCAAAGTTTGTTGCTTAGGCAGAAGGCGTTACTGGGCCCCATTGCACCCAGTGTTTTTGCTTCTTTTTTTTTATTTCAACAGTTGCCATCAGAGACATGAGTCACATCACTCTCCACACTTCAATCCCATGGTGTTGAGTATCAGGCAAGAATGAGCATGCACCCAATAGTGACAAAATAGGGTGGAGGCTGGAATGCACTCTGGACTCCTAGGTGGTAGGCAGATGCTATACCAAGAGCTATGACTAAGGTGGAGTATTCCTATATGAAGACCAGCCAGTTGAGAAGAGAGGGAATAGCTTGTCATGAGGAAGAATCTAGTATTCATCTCTGCCACAGACAGGATAGTACAATGAAAACTGTTACAGCTCACAGATACATAACAGAGCAGTAGAACTCTCACCGGTCTTCTCCAAACTGAGAACCAATAATGAAACAGACAGTCACAGCACCTTGCTGAATCATGGCAATGAATTGGCCCACAGAGTAGCAATGACATGAGACATTTTACATGACTTGGGAATGTGCACTGAACCATAGTCCAGTCCCTCCTTATTCATCAAACCTTTCTCCATGGGAGTTCTAGCTCTTTTTCCAGAAGGACAGAGCAGCTACATGGCTTATGTTCTTGACTCAAGGATAACCTCATAGCAGCACTAGAAGAAGCTTTGGACAGTGTACCTGAACAGGTCTTGTACTCAAACAAGTCTAAAGTACTCACAATCACAATTTCAAAGAATGGAAGAGAAATGAGGGAAGCACTTTGAGAAATTATGCATGCCCACATTCATTGAATTCAAATCATGTTGCCAAGGCTCAAGATTTTCAGGACACTGCTACTACCATTGCTCCATGGCTTACCGAGAAGAAAAGAACTTCACTTGGGTGCTTTCCAAACGTCTTATAGAGGTCTTCCTGGTAGATTCCCAGCCGAGCAGCAGATAAGAGTGAATATGTGAGGAGGGCAATTCCTATCAGCCACTGGATGAATATTGCAGCTCCCTTGTCATCATGCTCCTCCTCAGTTTTTTGCTTCTGTGCAAATTAATGGAAAAAAAAGCTTATTAGTCTATATGCAAATGAAAATGAAGGAGAAATGAAAATTATGTTCAAGAAGTCTGCTTATCCATTTACTTCTTCATAGTGAAGAGCTATGCTAGACTGATCAAATCAGTGGTGCCAGAACTGGGGCAGGAGGTTGTCCTACCCACTTCCCCTTCCCCCCCCCCCCCCCACTTTTCCAAAAGGATGAATTTGTTCCTACAGTTCACCACTATTTAATCTTCACAGATGACATTCTTTCGCATTATATATTGTCAGGTTTTTCTTTTCAATCTGTTTCCCCAAGAAATCAGCATACAGCCCCTCTTCACTTGATAACCTGGTCTCATTGTGTCTCGTGAAACTGTGCATTTCCACGTATTATAGAGTGGCAGAAGCATTGGAGAAAGCTGTAAGATAGCTCAAGAATGGCAACAGATACCAGCAGCACTCTCACTGCTCCTCAATATTGAGAATGAATGCATACATGTGGAAACATGGGTTCTGATCTCACATCATCAAGTCCAAAACTTAATTCAAGTCATATTTAATTGCAGGCTACCTAATTTATCAATTAAACTTTTAAATCAGTCAATAATTACTTAATTGAATCTGGCAAGGAACAAGTGAAATTCTAAGGTAGATGATCACTTCAGGCATATATATGCCAAATGATAATAGACACACAATGAGTATTGTGAGCACCACCATATCACCTATCACACCCAATCAATCTTCAATTTCAACAAAAAAAAATTAAGCACCTAATTCTCTGTAACTTATTAATATAATCCAATTGGAAACCCTACCACAACCATAACCATGCCTTGTCTGTATCTATATATACCTATGGAAAATAACTCAACCTAATCAAATTGGAAGTTCTAATGAAAAGGTGATAAAAAGCATTATCCCTGGGGATGACTGAGGGTATCAAGAGAAAGAGCAGCAGCTGAGCACATCCTCAGATACTGTGAAATAAACTTACTTCTTTTAATAATCTTTCAAGTTACTAATAAAATTCATCTGTTCCCATCATCAGTACCTTTGAGACTTATCTTGTTTAAAGTAAATTCAATCCAATTCAATTCCTTTTCAAGCTGAACTAGGTTGAAGGGAATAAATTTAAGCCTCAATTTTCCTACATGTTCTAGTACCACCAGTCCAAAGTCAGAAATCTCACCAGATGCTTCCCTGATGCGAACGTACAGATGATGATCCCGATCGTGATCATGACAACCGACAGATACTTGACCAACGAGTAGCGCCGATTCCGCAGGAGAATGCCCAAAGCCATGTTGGCGATGAGAGATCCAGATCGAAATATCATGTGGAGGGGCAAGGCAATATGGAAACTGAGAGCCCAGTTATTCGCCACACTCCCAGAGAAAAACAGAAGGACGATCATCACATAATACCTGCAAAAAAGATCCAACGTTGCAATCCTTCAAAAGCTGCTCAATGAGGATATGCAAAGGCTTATGCTACGCCTTGGCAATAACTGAAGTTGATTGGCCTTTAGCTCATCATGGTGAATAGTGCTTGCTCACCTCAACGGAACAGAAGACTTTTTCCTTCCCCAATCCATCGTGAAGATGAAGCCTTCCGCTGAAATGATCAAGAACTGGGAGAACGTGACCATATTTGTGCTGTCTGGTGCTTCCCTGCAAAGGAAAATGACCTTGCCGTAGGCACATCACGGGCCAATTCGTCATCCAGCCGACGAAAAGATTGCCATATCGACTTCATCCTTTCACAGGCGACCAAACTCACCTGACGATCATTTCGATGAAGCCGACGGTGAGGCAGCACCCAGTAAAGACGCCCACGAGGACGAGAACGAGTTTCATGTGCTTTTCCATCTTCTTCCCTCAAGCCACCACAAAATGCGAGAGGTCCTTCGAGCTAACAGCCAGACGGGAACCGGGCGATAGAGACGCAGACAAGGGGCCACATGGCATATGGCAGACGGAGGAGGAGCCAGGAGAGCACGAGGGACCGCACCTGACATTAAATTCTCTCATACTACGCCGTTCCCTGTGCCGATCCTTTCATTTTCACATTACTTTACACACCGGATCTTCTCACCTCCACGAAGGTTCATTCATCATATACAGTGCATATACTTTAATGCTACGTCACTCTACTTTAGCAACCGTGGTTATCACTACGCTCGTGTTTGAAGAGTGACTGGATCCTCCACGTGCGTTCACTCGCGTCTGGCGATTCTCGTCAGGCCTACGTCGGCACTCAGCACGTGAACATCTCTGGGACTGCAGAGGTCCATGGAAATCCCCAACAAGCTCCTGTATCAATGGGAGTGCAAGCAGGGAGCCGTCAGGGCTTGCAGGTTCAACGGTAAGTTTTAACTTTCAACCTATCACACTAATAAAATTAAGTTAGTGGCTATATATCCGAGGCCACCCTGGACCCATGGCTACATAGCTATTATTCTCCGATAGCTGCTTGCACCACCTCTGTGAGCAGGAATTGGCATTTTAATGGCGTAAGACTCAAACGTTAGTACCGAACGTGGGTTCGACCCCTGCCAACGCCCGCGTCTTTTGTTCCCTTTTATAATATTGTTTACATGCACATCAAATGAGTTCGAGCAGTTGAGATCAAACGAGGGCCTATTGAATGAAGAAATGATTGCCATTCCCTTCTACAGTGGATGGAAATTACTGTCTCACCTGTGGAGGTGACAAGAGCATCAAATTATGGAATCCACACAAAGGACTGCACCTCAAGTCATACATTGGCCATGGCATGGAAGTCTTGGATGCAAGAGGATCCTGTGATAACAGGTAAAGTGATTTCAATTTTGTATTCCTTTCCTGTTGCTAGGATTGTTGGATAGCAAATAAACTCTTGGCAAGAGGCATAAAGAGAGGCCTTGTCTGCAAGGGCCAAGGAGTAGTTCTTTGTTTGGATTAAGGCACTCACATGTTGAACAACCTAGCAGCACCAGACAGGTACAGTTCTAAGGTCTGCTATGTCCAAGGATGTAGGCCTTTACATGGTTGAGAACATAATTGCATTGTATTCATTTCTTTATTTTATTCCTTTTCCCTACTTGAACCTAGAAGCTTTTAACTGCCATCTATTGGCCGTATCAATTGATTCATGACCTTGAATTTAGTGAGGATTTGCAAAGCCCATGATGTGACACCAGTGGCTTCAGGATTCTTGTTTTTTTTTTTCCAATTTATCTATCCAGAAGACAGTCTGCATTCCTAGGCCTGAAGAGTCATGAAAAACTGGAATAACCTACTACTTATTGAAGGATAGGCCATTAGAGATTTTAGCACATGTAACCCAGTGTACCTCAAGTTAGGATCATTATTTATGTTATGGGAATTCAATGTTTTGCTTAGAACTGTAGCAGTTGATGGTCAAAGTTGTGCTGAATTATGTCATTGGTTTAAATGATTCAATTATTCTCTTTCCTAATCCAGCCAGGTGGCATCAGGCAGTGCAGACAAGACCGTGAGCCTGTGGGATGTGACCTCTGGAAATGTGATGAGAAAATGGAGAGGTCATGTTGGCAAGGTGACCTGCATAGCCTTCAATGAGGAATCCACTGTTGTCCTTTCTGGATCAATTGATGGTTCTATTAGGGCCTGGGATGTGAAAAGTCACAAGAAGGATTCGATCCAGGTAGTTACTCCAGCCTGGATTGGCTTTGATTCTTGGACATCTTTTGTTGAAGTTCTACTTCATTTTTTCCCTTGACATTGACATGTCCTGTGCACATTGAACTTTAGTATATGCTGCTTCTCAGTTACACCATCTGTGTAAGTATTTTTTCAGGCAGCAATTTCCAGTCTTGATCTTTGAAGTTCATGCTGAAAGAATCTGAATGAAACAGGAAAAAAGCAGAAAGTCTCAGTTATCTAAGGAGAAAATAATAATTTTTCTGTCAGGAAAAAAGGAAGCCAAGTGAAATGTAGGAAACTGAGGGGGGAATGATGCTGAAAACAATCTGAGGTAACTTCAGGGCATGTAGTTTTTGCAAGTCTCATGTATAGATATATATATCACCATACCTTGACCTACAACAATTCTTTATAGCCAGTCATATCATGTTCCTGTTTAATTGGGGCAAGTATGCCAAGGAATATGCCTGCAGATAAATTTTTGCAAACCTGAGAAATTGTGCTGTGTTTTGCATTATCTCCATGAAAATATTTATGCACATGGTAAATTTTGCCAATTGAAAAGCTGTTAAATATAGGTGAGTTTTAAAATGTTGTATTAGGTGATGCATGAGCCAAAGGACAGTGTGACAAGTCTGAAGGTGACCCAATATGAAATCTTTGTTGCTTCCTTGGACAAACGAATACGCAAGTATGACCTACGCAATGGAGAGCTGGTCACTGACTATATTGGACGTAAGTCTCCGTACCATGGGGCACTTTTCTTTTTTTTAGCCTTTTCTTTAATATGTTTGAGCTTGTTGGTGTGATTTCATATATTGTAGAACCTGTGATGAGTTTGGAGCAGACAAGGGATGGACAATGTCTGCTTCTTGGCTGTACAGACAGCACCATCAAACTCTTTGACAAGGACACTGGAGAACTCCTTCAAGAGTGAGTTCTACTTTGAGAAATGTACTAGTCATGCTCAAGTTTCATTTACCCTCCCTGCATGTTTATGGAAACTTTTCATTCAGGTTCACAGGGCACAAGAACTTGGAGTACAGGATCGAGAGCGTCATCAGCGCATGCGACCGGCTGGTTCTGTCGGGATCAGAGGATGGAAAGATCTATATTTGGGACCTGGTAGAGGGAAGTGTGAAAGAGACCCTAGGCATGTCTGGTGGGCACACCATCCACTCCCTCTCCTTCCATCCTATGAAGCAACTTTTTCTCAGTGCATCTCAGGAGACTGTTGCCCTCTGGGGTACAGAAGAAAACTCAGACAAAGGAGAGGAATCTGTAGAATGAGTCATTGTTGGCTTTTGGAGACACTTCCAACTGCCCAGGTTCTGTGATACCTGATTGGTTTCATTTTTTATTTATTATGTATTAATTGTAATAAAGGATTGAATTTTTCAAGATGTACAATCCTTACAATAAAGGATTGTAAAAGCACATTTATTGCGTTTTTTACAGAAGGGAATTTCACCAGACATAATGTAGTTATTGATTCATTCATGAGGACAAACAGCTATCACAATATGGCATGTAATCACCATGGGGACCCTTAAGCTCGATGCTGGCTCCAGACTCGACAACATACAGTTGCATCTTGTGAACATCAGTTCGCTATTTGGGCTACTTGAGGAGGTTCATGCAAGTGGATGCTGATGGGAGACGTTCAAGAGCTTCGCCAGCACTCTGAATGCAGAAGGCTGGGTGAGGTCCCTGAAGCTTAAGAGGGAACATGATGTCACAAGCATCAACAGCTGGGATTTCTGGCGGTCTAAGAAACCTGATATCTCTTGATGTCCATGGGATTCCTCTCATCCCTCTGCTCCGTCACCCAATCGTAAAACTCCAACAAGTCGGTAAAACAATTATGTCGCCTCCCAAAGCCGTGCTGAGAGTCTAGGATGAGCGCCTTCCCCTGAGGAAATTCAAGATAAGGGCGTAATTGGCAGGTGGCGTATTTTGGCTGAAGAGTCGGGGGGAGGGAGCTTCAAACCCCACCCAAACGATATCAGGGGAGAAAAATATTACCCTCAAGGCGCGCCGAGCTCTGACCCAGAGGTGCCCGGGGGAGGGGGCGACACCCGACTGGGTGTCCACCGTCGGTGCGATTTCTTGGAAGACAGCCCGTAGCAGACGCCGAGCATATGGATCGGTCTATGGTTCGCCGCACGGCGTCTTTGCCGATGCAATCGCCTTCGCTCGGTGTCAAAACTTCCAAGTGTGCCTGAAGAGTTTCTCAATGTGCCCTCTATTGAACAATAAAATCATTCCCCAGTTCATAGGGAAGATGAATGATAAAAAGCCTCGTTTTGGAGCTCTGCACGAAACAGAACTCTGAACTTTCTCCCAGGGAATTACCTTGAATTATCTTGTCATTTCGAAACCTCCAAATGTGTCTCAAGAGCATACCACAGTGTCCTCTACTGCAAAGCAACAGTTCCCCAGTTAATGAGATCATTACAAGCAAAAAGGATGTCAAAGCCATAGTCTTATCTCTGTATGAAACAATAAAACGTTGAAATTCCGTGAGGCAAACATCCTATGCAGTCATTACCATCTGACGACTAGATTGCCAATTAAATTCATTCTTTCAATTTCTTGCATGTTCATTCCAACTCAATGGGAGTTCGAGCACGCATAAATAACATTAAAAATCTATTATTTACCAGCCCAACCCCCTCCCCTCTATGTGGTCCTACCATTACGAATAAACATCAAGAATAGGATTTCGAATGAAATGTATCGGAATAGGATATTAATAAACTTCGCCCTGATCTGGAAGTAGTGGGGCGAGAGCAATGCATTACAGACCGGCGAGTCTCACGAGCCACCCTTCAAAGAAATGGAAAGCATTCTTCGAGATAACATCTTAGAATCCCTCGAGGTAAACTAGCTCATCTCAGCACGGCCTCAGAGCGAAGAAATCGCCTCATCGACAAGCTCAGTTTCTGCGAGAGGACGACAGACGAGAAGGATCGAAGGACGTCGACATCGTCTAATCACAGGGGAAAATGAGACACGGTTCCAATGTTTGAATATACCCCAAAGGGATGTCGGAGTGGTGGTACTCTGGAGCATCGCTAGATGGCTCTCGCTTTCCTTGCTGCTACCAAACATTACGTGATTCGCGGAAGGGTGAGTAACCGTCGGAACGGCTGTCGAAAAGATAGCCAGGAAAATAAATAGTGCGACACGTCGGGGGAAGTACGAGTCGCGAGCGGAGTACCCCAGGGTGAGGTCTGGGAACTGCTTTATTCTTGATTTACATCAACAATTTCCAGGTCAACTTCCGACTCCATGGTGACGGCAGGAGTGACGTCAAACCCAAACGCGTCTCGGGTTGCAGAAAGACTGCCTTGCTTTTAAGGTCGTAAATGCGTTTTGTCAGTGCTTCTCAACCGTTGTGCCGTGCGATTTCTTCATCTGCCCGAAACTGCACTCGACCTAGGGCAGTTCCAGCAGTCTTCAGCTGTTTCCACATGCGTGTGGCGCGGCTATAAAACGCGACAAAACCGCTCGCCTTACATTAATTACGTTTGCACTGTTGGCGTGGCGACACTGCGGTCGAGATCGCTCGTCGAGCGACCACTCTCGGCGTCGGCTAACCTGTTCCTTTTCCTTGAAGACGAAAACAAGGACATCTCAACTCAAAGTAAACAGCATCGGTACATACTAAAAAAAAATTATCGTCACGGTATAATACTGGAAGTGAAAACTGCATGCTGCGGCCAAAAGAATGTGCCGTGTGCCGTGCCGTGCCATGTGAACCACGCAGAATGAGGCTTATGTCGAAGTGTGCCGCTCATCAAAAAAGGTTGAGAAACACCATGTTGGGCGATGACGTGGTGGCAGTCTCTTCTGCGTCTAGTTTTAACCCTTTCAGACCTGAATTAGGGCCGCTATCGGAATAATATCCTTTCTTGCGTTTTTTAAGCTCTTTCGTGATTGTGATTGATATTTTAATGCTTTACACGTAGTTTCGTATTTTGTATAAATTTACCATATCATACCATATTTTATTTATTATATATTTAATTAATTAACTGAAGATGACAAAACTAATGGGTGAAAGAAGGCCTCCGATGAAACCGAGCCATGCATAATTGCACCAACTTTTGCGTAATATGGAGCGCAAAGTCACGAGAATCTTAAGAAATTGCCATAGACACAATGTAAATGCAATGCCCATTGGAATGGACGCCGGGTCTGAAAGGGTTAAGGAGAGGCTAGGTGCTTTCAAGGACATAGCAAAATTGGGAGCAGTATAGCTATTAAGTAAATAAGTATAAGTGGATATGCTCTCTTACAAAAATATCTCTCTCTAAGAGGGACAGGCTTCTTCCGAAATTAACCCTTTTAGTGCCACAAGCCGATATTTCGACCGCGAAATTTTCCGGCTGCTGGTTCCTTACAGGATGATGGAATGGAGAAAAAATACAAATGTACGAACAACATTTAGTAAAATGCTACGTTTTCGGCGAAAACATTTCGCGCATCCCTCGCCGGAAAGCGTGGCACAATGTGGGTTAAGGATCCACCTTCACACGGGATGTCATATGGGGATAAAATGTATTTAATAGATCCCATCTAAATTGGATTGTACATCTGGTAGTGATTGGAAATACATAATCTTTCCTTTCCATGAAGAATAACGAGAAAAAAGTTTTTTTTTGTAGATGACACCAGATAAACACTTCCTGCGCAAATTAAGAGAAAGATTTCTGGTTTGATACGAGTACGATTTTTTTTTCTCCAGTAATCAAAGCAGCAGTTGCCGTTGATCATAATAACTTGATAAACTAAGAAAAAAAAAGCTTATACTGCTGAAGCATATATTGGATTATTAGCATGTTGACAAATATCCATGGGATATTTCTTATCATTACCATAATTTTTTTTTATCTAAATAAAAAATAATCGTAATATTACACATGAATAGGTGTAGAGACAATAAATTAATCCATATTTGATTACCCTTCAAGTGAAAAAAAAACAACTCCTTCACATGAGATATTAGGCATGCCTGCTCTGACTTCTTATCAGTCAATGCTTTCTCAGAAAGCACATCACAATAAAAATAAATAAAGGAAATACCATGCTCTAAACCTGTCACCAATGATGCAGTGCAGACTCTGCATTATTATTCCTCTGCTAAGAATCGATCATTCTTTTTTTCACATCACAATTTCCGATGGATTTATTGTGAAAGGAAACTTAGTGACATATTCAAGTCATTGAACCTTCCACCTAAGGGATGCAAAATCCCAAAGAAACGAGTAATGAAATAACCATTACAAGCGAGTGGCATAATGTCATGCAGTTTACTGTTTCCTAAAGCAATCATGATTGCTGTTCATGAAACTATTTAAAAGGACAGACATGTCTTTGTTTAGTAGATGAAAATATGTCATAACTATACAACCATTCCACAGGTAAACCATAACTTTCACAGGCTTGTCCTCAGTCCCATTATCTTCTTCCTGTACTTTTCACCTACCATGGATGCCAAACCAAGACTCTTGCCTCAGGTACTCATCCATTCCGATGTTCTAACACACAGCAGATGATATAGACCACTACACATATTTTGACTAACTTCATTGTACTTTTGCCTCTAGTTCCATGCAGCAATCCTGGGCTCCACGAATGGAATAATTGGGGGCTTTGGCATAGGCTTTGCTGCTGTGGGAATACCTTCCTTGGAAAAGGACAAAGATGCTCCCTTCACCCTTACAACTGAAGTCAAAGCCTTGTTCGGTTAGTCTTGTCATTCATTCTTTTTTCCAAATGCATTGTTATTTGGGAATTTTGTTACAAAGCAAACCAGTCCTTTACAGGCTCTCCCACTGAATCCATCAAATAAGCGGTTATTGCAGCAGTGAACTTGCTGGTGGTTTTTTTTTTTTAGACAAATGATGAATGTTTTGAAAAAAAAGGATTTCCTACATTACTCATGCTAAAAAGATTTACAATTAAAAAAATATCATTGCATGTGCTAGGATCAAAGCAGAATCTCCAATGCTCTTCAAAATAAAATCATCAACAATGATGCATATGTGCAGTTTCTGGAAGAGATGATACTGTTCAAAACGGGATGCAGCAGAATTCAATCTCACTGGTTTTGTAGGAGTGTAACTTCATGAGTGCAACATGCACAGATTTGCACATAACCTTTTTTGTCATCATCCACCATATAGAATGACTATCTGCAGGTCTTATAAAGATGTCAGATCTTTTCTCCTTCAACTTTGTTGCAAGTAATAAATAACTTTTCTCATTCACTTTCCTTGTATTCCTTTTCTGGAAATCATGAAGACCAAGGAGCCATATCTAATTAACCTTTGAGATCCTTTGTCAAGTTAGGCAAGACATTCCTTGTAGCATTATAAGAAAAATGCAAAGTGCA